GCGACTCCCCCGACCAGACTGGGGGCCAGAAAGCCGGTCCTGTCGTTGGATTTAGCGAGAAGACCAGCGTAGCCCAAGTCCCGCCCGCACGTGCGCTCCATGCGCTTACAGTGAGCGTCCAGTCCCCTCGCAGCCAGGGCCTGGGGGCCGGGGTCCTGCGCCCCCAGCCTCATCAGCCCTGTTAAAACACAAGGTCCAGCCCAGAAAGTCAAAGACCCAACTGCCCCGATTAAACCGCCCAGCGCCCAGGAACCCGGCAGCGCTGCTTTCCGCAGGAGAGAGGCGCCCTGAACTTGCCAGCTCGAAGAGCTCACAGCAGAGAGCAGTGGGGCGAGGAGAGGGGTCGGGGCTGTGTTGATCAGGAAACTCAAAACCCGGGGCTCCCTTGGCCCTGGGCTTAAGGCTCAGGGCTACAGGGCGGCAGCCTGAGTAGGGTCCCCCGCCAGGGAGCCAACCTGTCTCCCCGCTGCCCCTCAGCAGCGGCTCAGTGGCCCCACCAGCTCTGCCCCCCACTCTGCCTCTGGCGAGGCCTCTCGCCCCTCCACCTACAAGAAACCCAGTTCTTCTACACAAAAATAAATAAATCTTAAGAAAAAGAACGCAGATTCAGATCTATTTCGATTTAAAATCCTGCTCCGAGGAGCCCACAGCTGAAGCTGAGCGAGACGTCTTGGACCGGTGACTGTGGGCTTAGCACAAGTGACTGTTTGGGTGTGCTTTCAGTGACCCCGGGAGGGCAGGTGGCCAGGTAGCAGTCACGGCTCCGACTGGGGCCGAGGGCTGGTTTCCGCTGTCGCTCCTAGAGCCCACGGGCCCCTGTTAAGGGGTGTGGGCACCTCCGCCTTCCCACGCGCCCCCACACACAGGGTGCTGCGTCTGCAAGGGGTGAGCAGCACTCTCAGGCCTCCCCGTCTTCTCCCCACCAGCCCTGTGAAGCCAGAGGAGATGGACTGGTCCGAGCTGTATCCAGAGTTCTTCACGCCACCAGCTCAAGCCCAGAGCCACGATGACCCGAAGGATGAGAGCGGGAAGGGCGCTCGGGCCCAAGTGGAGTTTGCAGACATAGGCTGCGGCTACGGTGGCCTGTTAGGTAACACTCTGAGAGGCGGCAGCCGCTTCTGCCACCGCAGCAGGCTCGGCGGGCCACCGTGGCCAACCCCCTCCGGCCCAGACTTGCGTGCTGTGACGTCGGCCGCAGGCGCCGCCGCCCCCTCTGTGCGGCTGTGGCCTTTGCCCTGCAGAAGGGAGGCGCCTCTTCACGTGCCCCTTGGAGCGGGTCGTCCTGTCTGGCCCCAGCCCTCCGTGAGCCATTTGGTCCGGGTCAGTGAGCCGGTCAGCACAAGCGTCAGAGATGAGCCACAGTGGCCAGTGATCCCTGACGGTGCTTCTCAGGGATTCCACCACCCCACCCCCGCCCCCACCTCAGCAGAACTCATTCCTCCAGCTTTGCTCTCTCACTGTTTCGGGTCACCTTTTTTTCTTCTTTTTTAAGATTTTATTTATTTGTTAACGTAGAAGAACTGGGGTGCAGGCCAGAGGTGCAGGGGTGAGAGGACTCCCCAGAGACAGAGTGGGGAGCAGAACAGGTAGAGCTACTGAAACCCACTGCTGAGGGAGCAGCGGGGGACAGGACGGGTCTGCTGCGCCTGGGGTCCCTCCCTGGCCAGCGACAGCCCCCGACCCTGCGCCTCACCCCTGCGCCCCCAGGGGCCCTTTTCCAAGTCGCTTCTGCCGTGTCCACACTGCCCCGGCGCACAGCCCAGCCGCTTCCGGCTTTCAGCTTTCCTGTCGCTAACGCAGGGCACAGAGAGGAAGAGCGGGCTGGGTGGCAGAGCCTCGGGCCACTTTCTGTTGACCCACCTGTGCCCTTGGTCGTTTCTGACTCTCCGTTTCTGCAAACTCGCAACTCGCCGGGTTTATGAGGACGACGGTGTGGAAACACTGAAGAACGCGCCGATCGCACACCCCAGCCCCTCCGCCCCCAGGCCTATGGCGCCCCGCAGGCCTCCGGCCAGCCAGGGGCCAGGCCCAGCCCCGGCCGTGGGGGTGCACACGGCGCCGGGTTTGGGGGCTGCAGGGCGCCCGTGTCGGCCCCTCGGCACTCCCGCCAGTGGGGGCTGACGACCCCATTCCTGTGTGTGTGTCCAGTGAAATTGTCGCCGCTGTTCCCGGACACGCTGATCCTGGGTCTGGAGATCCGGGTGAAAGTCTCAGACTACGTCCAAGACCGGATCCGGGCCCTGCGAGCGGCGCCCGGCGGCGGCTTCCAGAACATCGCCTGTCTGCGCAGCAACGCCATGAAGCACCTGCCGAACTTCTTCCACAAGGGCCAGGTGGGAGGGCCCTCGGGGGCTCGGGCTGGCGGGCGGGCGGGCGGCGAGGCCGGCTCACCGCCGTCGCTGCCGTCTGCCCCACAGCTGACGAAGATGTTCTTCCTCTTCCCCGACCCGCATTTCAAACGGACGAAGCACAAGTGGCGAATCATCAGCCCCACGCTGTTGGCAGAATACGCCTACGTGCTGAGAGTTGGGGTGAGTGGGGGAGGCAGGCGGCCGGCCTGTTCGGGGTCCCTCCAGGCAGGGCGCAGGGCGCCGAGGCTCAGCCCGCCGCCCGCCCGGCTCCCGCTGCCTCGCAGGGCCTGGTGTACACCATAACCGACGTGCGGGAGCTGCACGACTGGATGTGCACCCACTTCGAAGGACACCCCCTGTTTGAGCGTGTGCCCCTGGACGAGCTGGTAAGTGGGGGTCTGGGGGAAGTGCCGGCTGCCAGCCTGTACTCTGAGAGCCCAGCTCGGTGCCAGGGTGGGCCTCGGCTGGGCAGCCTGAGCGGCAGGCAGAGCCTTGCTGGCGCTCGCCCCCCCCAGAGTGAAGACCCCATCGTGAGGCATCTGGGCACCGCGACAGAGGAGGGAAAGAAGGTGCTACGCAACGGAGGAAAGAACTTCCCTGCCGTCTTCCGAAGAACAGAGGACCGCGGCCTCCAGGCGGCCACCCCCAGCCCCGCCCCTCCTGCCCACTAGCTGCGTCCCTTGCCTGAGCTGCGCCCCGCCGTGCGGGACCAAGATCGGGCCCTCTGGACCTGTCTGCTGAGCTGCTGGGCCCAGGGAGGCGCTGCCTCGCCGAAGCTGGGGCCTGGGAGGGCGCAGCCCTGATGTGCACACCCCTCCACCGCCAGCAGCGGCCAGAGGAGACTGGGGGGGTCAAGAGACCTTCGGAGCCCTGTGGGAGGCTGTGGGCTTGCTGTCCCACAGAAACCCTCCCTGGGCGGCCTCCGCGCCCGCCTGCACGGCCAGAAGAGGCCGCGGTGTGGGTCACGGGCCTTCGCCCTGCCCAGGACCTGACCTGGGGAATCTGAGCTATCTCTGGAGAGTGCCTGGGAGGTGGGGGATGAACGCCCTGTCCTCCTGCCTGACCCACCCTCCACGCCAGAATCCAGTGGCACAGTGCCCAGTGGGCCTGGGGCAGGAGTGGGCAGCGCTGTGCGAGGCATTCTGACACTGCAGGTGGGAAGGCGCTGCTGACCGGACGCCCACCCGAGTCAGCTGGAGGTTCCGGCACTCGGGCCTACTCCACCCTGAAACCTGGGGGTCTCTTCCTCCTTCCCTCCCCTCCTGTTGGTACAACCTGAACTTCTCTAATTTATAAAACGTTCCTTTGTGTCTGCTCCTCAAGTCCAAAATTCCCATGGCTGAAGGACAGGGCTGTTGACCCCAAAGACACCCCCCCCACCCCAAGGACAAACACAGGGGCTTCCCGAGCCATTGAACCGTATTCACCCAGACACCGGGCAGAGGGCAGACGGGCTGGCCCACCTGCAGGGAATACCCCCACCCATCTGCCCGCGGCCAGTGTTGGGTACAGCAGGCTGGGAGACGAGGCACAGGGCAGCAAGTCCCACTCATACCCCCGAAGGCGCAGGCCCGCGAACCTAGGGTGGCGGCAGCTGCCTCTTCCCAGGGAAGCCAGAGGATGGGGATTCCTGGGGTGGGCCGGCGGGGTGGGGGTGCGGGTGCTGGCTCCCTGGGCAGCAGTGGAAATACCAGGACCTGGCCACTGGCATGGCTCAGTCATGAACAGCCTTTCCTAGGAAGAGGTTGCAGCACTAGGGCACTGTGTTCCAGAAAGAGAAACTGAGGCAGACCAGCCTCCCCAGAGGGCCCTGCAGGGGAAGGCCAAGGGGCCCTTCAGCAGCCCCACCCACTGCTGCCGGTGCTAGAGCCCAGCAGGCCGGTGGAGGGGATTGGCCGGGCGGCTGGGAGGGGGGCGTTGCCGCTGCCTCCCCAGGGGCTACATAGGGTGCGGCCCTTGCTGGGAAGCCTCAGTGCTGGGCTCCTTGGGCCGGGCCATGGCCCGCACGCTCAAGCTCGTCTCCAGAGCGAGCCTTCGGGTGCGCTGTGCTCCAGAGCCGGGCCCCTTCCCGGGATCTCGAGGTTTCGGCTCGGCACCCCGAGGCCTGGAGGACATCCCGGGTCCCTCCACGGCAGGCTTCCTGGCGGAACTTTTCTGCAAAGGGGGCCTGTCTCGGCTGCACGAGCTGCAGGTAGGTCCGGGAGGGGGACGCCCGGCAGGTGGTGTGGGGCGCCCGGTGGCACTGAGAGAGGAAGTCCTGGCGTCGGGAAAAGAGTTGAGCCTTGGGGCAGTGGTGCCCCCCACCCCCCAACAAAGGAGCGGGAGAATGGGAAGGTCCAGCTGAGCAGCCCCGGGCAGGCAGAACCCACCACACTCCCGGGTTACACGCTCGCAGGGAAAGCTATTTGCCCCCAAAAAACCTCGGTGGGGGCCGCCCCCCCCGACGGCGAGTTGGGTGGGGGAGCCTTCGGGGGTTCCTCCCGTCGGCTGGGCCTGGTGGCCAGGCGGTTTCCTAAACGGGTGTTTTGCGCCAAGCTCCGAGGAGGCTCGTCTTCCCGCGCAGACTTCCAGGGCGCCAGCGGGGGTGGGGGCCGAGAGGCCGCGGCGCCGGCTGCCCTCGCGGGGGGCAGCGCGCCCCCTTTCCCAGCCGACTCGGGCTCCCTCTCCCGGCGTCCCCAGGTGCAGGGCGCCGCGCGCTTCGGCCCGGTGTGGCTGGCCAGCTTCGGGACGGTGCGCACCGTGTACCTCGCGGCCCCCGCGCTGGCCGAGC